CAACAGCAACTCTGAAGCAGTTGCAGGAATTTGTGACAAAGAGTGGTCATTGTGTGACAACAATATCACAAATTCTCCACAAATGTGGCTTGTATGGGAGGGTTGCAAGAAAAAAGCCACTCCTCAAGAAAGGTCACATGCAGTCACGACTGAGCTTTGACAAAACGCATCTTGAAGATTCTGAGACAGATAAGACTAAAAGTGAATTATTTGGCCTCAACACCAAACGATATGTCTGGCAGAAATCCAATACAACTCACCTTTCAAATAACAGCATACCTACAGTAAAGCATGGCAATGGTAATATCCTGTTATGGGGGTGTTTCTCTGCAGCAGCGACTGGGGCACTTGTCAGGATAGAAGGAAAATGGATGGGGCAAAATACAGTCAAATTCTTGAGGAAAATCTGCTGCCCTTTGCCAGAAAGTTGACGATGGTAAGAAGGTTTACCTTCCCAACATGACAATGACCCAAAGCACACAGCAAAACTGAGAACACAGTGGTTGAAGGAGAAAAAGGTGAATGTCCTTGCATGGCCTAATCAGAGCCCAGACTTAAACCCCACTGAAAATCTGTGGAATGACTTGAAGACTGCAGTCCACAAACGATCACCATCAAATTTAACTGATTGAGTTAAAGAGAAATTTAAACAAATTTAACTCTTCTGCAAAGAAGAGTGGGCAAATATTGCAAAGTCTAGGTGTGCAAAGTTAGTAGAGACATGTTGATGTTTTACCTTTCACTTGGATGTTATAAGTTGCACTGAGTAAATACAGTGAAGTGACGTATGACGTGTGGCCAAGTATGGTGTAGCGTCTGGACCACTCAAACACACAATATATATTTTGTTTTTATATTTAACAAATACTCTGTAAAGCCCCACCGACAATTCCTGCCGGACCTGAGACGCGAACCTTTCGGTTACAAGTCTCTCTCTAACCACAACTGCCCCATCTCTAACCACGACTGCCCTGACAGCTGGATAAAATAAAAACTCTTGTCTGTCTTCATTTCAGTCTGCAAAGCAACAAAATGTGATTATTT